GGCATAGGTTCACCATGGGACCATGGTGATGACTGCTAACATGTCAGGGATTACAATTTTTTTCTATGACATAAACCATTGAGATGACTGATTACATCATGTCAGAGATTAAAACCTTACCTTCTTCTATGACATAAACCATGGTGGTGACTGATGATGTCATGTCAGGGACTACAACCCACCTTTTTCAATGGCATAAACCATGGTGATGACTGATGACATCATGACAGGGATTACAACCTTACCTTGTTTCATGATATAAACCATGGTGATGACTGATGATGTCATGTCAGGGATAGAAACCTTACCTTCTTTCATGATATAAACCATGGTGATGACTGATGACGTCATGTCAGGGATAGAAACCTTACCTTCTTCTGTGACATAAACCATAGAGATGACTGATTACATCATGTCAGGGATTACAACCTTACCTTCTTTCATGATATAAAGCATGGTGATGACTGATGATGTCATGTCAGGGATAGAAACCTTACCTTCTTCTGTGACATAAACCATAGAGATGACTAATTACATCATGTCAGGGATTACAACCTTACCTTCTTCCAAGACATAAACCATGGTGACGACTGATGATGTAATGTCAGGGATTACAACCCACCTTCTTCAAAGGCATAAACCATGGTGATGACTGATGACATCATGTCTGGGATTACTACCTTACCATCTTCCATGGCATAAACCATGGTGATGACTGATGACATCACGTCAGGGATTACAACCTTACCTTCTTCCAAGACATAAACCATGGTGATGACTGATGATGTCATGTCAGGGATTACAACCTTCCCTTTTTCCATGGCATAAACCATGGTGATGACTGATGATGTCATGTCAGGGATTACAACCTTACATTCTTCAATGACATAAACCATGGTGATGATTGGTGTCATGTCAGGGATTACAACCATACCTTCTTCCGTGACATAAACCATGGTGACGACTGATGATGTCATGTCAGGGATTACAGCCTTACCTTCTTCCATGATATAAACCATGGTGATGACTGATGATGTCATGTCAGGGATTACAACCTTACCTTCTTCTATGGCATAAACCATGGTGATGACTGATGATGTCATGTCAGGGATTACAATCTTACCTTCTTCCATGACATAAACCATGGTGACGACTGATGATGTCATGTCAGGGATTACAGCCTTACCTTCTTCCATGATATAAACCATGGTGATGACTGATGATGTCATGTCAGGGATTACAACCTTACCTTCTTCCACGACATAAACCATGATGATGACTGATGATGTCATGTCAGGGTATACAACCTTACCTTCTTTAGTGTTTCCTTGAGTGTTGTTTTTCCAACACCACCATGGCCACAGAAATATATCTTTGTGGTATCAACTTTATCCCCTTCCTGTGCCATCAGTTCACTGTTTTCTCGTTGCTATAAGAAATACCAGTAGTAAACATGTAAACTCGATATTACAAACAAAACATGCTTCATCATTTGTAATAACACAGAAAGTTAATCAGCAGTATCATGAACTCCAACTTAAGTAATCACTCAACGAACAAATATTCTTCACTAACACCACACCATAAAGTGCAGCGTTTCATGCTTTGCACAAATTTTCATCATGTAATGATAACTGCTTTTGCATTAGAATAAACAAAGGAAAGTGTCTGAAAGTGAAGTATAAACATAAAGCACAAGTACCAAATAAGGAACCGATTCAAGTGACATTTTACAGTTAAGTTAAGAACTGATCTGATATGGTTCATAAATAAAACTGAATGTGTCATATTGTTATACACCTTATACCGACAACAAAAGAATTATAATTCTGATGTTGTCAAGGTCAGATTGAATATGTCACACTCAGGGTTATTTATGAATCAAATCAGATCAGTTCTTGAATTCAATGTCAAGTTTGTCAGAAATGCAAAATATATGTATTATAGTCACACAGTGGTAGAATATTGGATATGAATTGTGCGTCTAAACATTTGAACATAACATGTGAACAATGTGTTCACACATCACATATAAATTAAAACATGAAATTCACTCATGGATACTAAAATTGATGTGTAAAGTCATCAAGATTCCCTTCCTATTATTATGTGGGTCATTTAGCAATCTCCATGACAGTCTGGAAATATTCAGAGATTTTGCCCATATAATCATGTAACCTATAATTTTAATGTCACAAAAATTGTTGGTCACACTGTTATGTCTGTGACAACTATCAGCAGATACAGCGTGCAGGCAAACGAGCATCTGTCATCCACTTGTTGGAAATTGACATATTCAGAGTAGAAGTGTATGTGATATATTTATCAGCCCATCAACATCACAGTTAATATCTAATGAATGCTGAGACAAAATCTAAACATTTCCAGACTTTTATGATGAGGTTTAAACCATCCATGAAATAGCAGGAAGGTAACCAGGCGATTTTAAAGTCAAATATAGTGGAAGGTTTTACATTGATTTACCTGTATTGCTTTTAGTAGTAATAGTTTAGCTTCTTTATAGAAATTGGTTATCGTACCAGCAGACCCTATGTTGGAATCAATATACTGTAATGGTGTCTTACCGCGACGCTGTAATACAAGATGTAGAAATGAATAGGTAATAAATGTACATTTTAAGAATTAAGTGAAGGTCATATATTAATGTTAATTGACTCTCTGTTGAATGTTCAAGTGGTAAAATTAACACACATATTCATAAATCACCATGTACTATGGATCTAGTTGTTGGACAATTCAAGTGATGATATTTAACAATACAAGACTGTAATTGTATTAAGTGTAAAATAATGCATGCATGTAAATAATACAATGGTAAATCAATTAAGACAAAACTTACATCAACGTTGTCCAAAGATATATTCTTATCTAAAAGCAACTTCATGACATTCAGTGCAGAACTTTTGTTTACGTTGTCAAAACGACGCATGGTTTTTGGATACTGAAGTACCATGTTGAGAGCATTCTCTCCCTCCTGAAATGATAATATGTATATCACACTACAAAAGTATTGTACAATGCACATCTAAATCTATAAAAATGACTTTACTTGCATGATTTGTTGATTTGCATTTTAATGTCTTTAATGTAACCAGGGTACACCCTTGTCACTAATATTCATCTTTAAAACAAGTAGACTTCATCTAACCTATATGCCAACGTCTGACACAAATAACATGTTTATCACAAAAAACACTGATTGTCATAATACAAATTATAACCCTAAGAAAACAATTGTGTTTCTATTTCACTGTGAACACAACATATCAATAACTGCCTTCAGTAAACGTCTCTCCTTACTTGGTTATTACAAATAAGCAGTACATGTATGTATCTGTTATGTGAACATAAAGTTTATCGTCTATGAACAAGGGACACTAAAGGGTTCTATTGATAACCAATCTGATGTCACTTTTATTGTGGACTTGCAGAGATATCCTTCACCTCTTCCTTGCACATATTGCTTATTTGACAGAGATCATATTTTTTTACTGAAAGGGCACAATGCATAACAATGTAATAATTCCCATTTATAATCAGTTGCATGGAGGAATTAAGCACCTGTTTAGATAATAGTGTTAGATTTGATTGGTTCATTTAATTAACAATGAATCATGTTATTATTAGAATCATTGCATTGGGATTGTCATAATTATATATAAACATCTTATCTGTTGAAAAAGCTACGCCTGCATTACTGACCATGCATATCCAATGAGGAAATCTGTAGAATGATGTACACCTACATTACTGACCATGTATCTCTAATTACATAATTCAATATTTGCACACACTTTGATATCCCTAATATTCAATCTTACAATGTGATTAGTGCAATTATTATTGTGCTTGCTTAGATAACTGGTTTGCACTGTAGTGTGCTGATGATACCTGTAATTTCACCAAAGTGGACTCCCTAGGTTTAGCATGTTATATAACTGATTACTGTTTTACAGTGTAGTGTGCTGTGACACCGTGTAATTTCACCAAAGTGGACTCCCTAGGTTTAGCATATTAGATAACTGATTACTGTTTTACAGTGTAGTGTGCTGATGATACCTGTAATTTCACCAAAGTGGACTCCCTAGGTTTAGCATATTAGATAACTGATTACTGTATTCACAGTGCAGTGTGCTGATGACACCGCATGTAATTTCACCAAACTGGATTCCCTGGATTTGGTGTATTAGATAACTGATTACTGTATTTGCATTGTAGTGTGCTGATGATACCCCGTCATTTCACCAAAGTGGACTCCCTAGGTTTAGCATATTAGATAACTGATTACTGTATTTGCAGTGAGTGTGCTGATGACACCGCATGTAATTTCACCAAACTGGATTCCCTGGATTCGGTGTATTAGATAACTGATTACTGTATTTGCAGTGTAGTGTGCTGATGACACCCCCTGTCATTTCACCAAAGTGGACTCCCTAGGTTTAGCATATTAGATAACTGATCACCGTATTTTCTGTGGAGCGTTCTTATGACACCCCCTGTAACTTCCCCAAAATTAACTCCCTAGGCAACTGATTATTGTGTTTGTAGTGTCAAAGTCACAATTGTTAGTTTCGAACAAATTGTAAATTTGAGATGGAAAGCATTTTGGTTTCGAACAACTACAAAACCTGTCTTATTTCTGAGTTTTGCTCGTAGTCATGACACGATCACAATTAGGACCCTTAATCTTGAAATTTGTATATGCCATAAGTGTGTGGCATACTGTTCTATTCTTGAAAAAAAATCAACAAGTTTTTCATCAGTGAATAACAAGTGAATGTCTGAACCCATACTGTTTGGGAATACTATCCAGTCATCTACTCATCCAGCAAAGTTGTCATGCTGCATAGTGTTTAATATGGGTCCCAATGTGTGTAAAATACATTACTTACACAAAATGTGGCGTGCGGCACGATGAATTTAATGATATACTGAATTCAGGTTTCAATTCAAGAGAGATTTTATAAATTGTGCACTACATATGTTTTCAGTTACTAAATATTTTAGGTTTAGGACCAACAAGTAGTATAACTGTCTTGCAATTTATGTTTCCTATCAATACTGAGTAATTACAATGATGTCACTTGATATGAATATGATGTAATTAAAGTGTAGAGTAAATGGTTAGACCATACAAGCAGGCCTAACATAATTCATGAATTATCAGGGGTAGTAATATGAACAGCATATGAACTACTTAAATTACCTTATCAACTACTTCTACATTTGCCCCTGCTGATAGCAATGCCTCAACTGATTTATTATCACCTTTCTCTACTGCATATTGAAGTGGAGTCTTGTTGTCCTGAAACAAATATAATACTATGTTAAAAGATACAAACACAGTGAAGAGTAAACTTTCAACCTACCCAACATAATTGTATTGTGTTATATTGCAATGTATGGTTGAAATTTAAAGTTTACTTTGATACAAATTTCAAAACAATTAACTGGGTACAAATTTAATCAGATAATGTAGTTACCTTGAATAATACATTGATAGTGTTTAAACTTTTCAACAATAAGCTGAAGCTGCATTATTATATGGGAGAAATGATTTTGTAATGTCATTGTGATATATACCAAGTACAGGTAAACATATGACTTTGGATTTGCACATTTTTTGAAAACCATCCAGCCTAACAATTCACACCACAATTATGAATTTGTAATTAACAATGGCAGGCTACAAATTACTTGATCAGTAACGCATACCTTGGCTCCTACTAACACCAATATACTACAAGTGATTTAACTGACAATTTTGAAGTGTTCTGAAGATCAGTGACTCATAAAGATTTGTATTGATTTGAACAGCCATATCTGCAGCAATTCAGAACTAGAACTAATTAGGTTTGCACATATTCATTGTTTCGTTGAGAACACAGGGCACACGAGATCGAAAGTTTGTAGTGATATTGCGGCTAGGAATTTAAAATATATATATAAATTTGGGTAGCAAGCGTTCTACACTCCTGAAAGGAGGTGTTTAAGCATGTCTTGTACTCATACTTTGTTTTCAATTCACTATAATATATCTAAAATAGCATTTAGAAAGTCAATAAATTAGACAACTAAAACAAAACTTTGTCAGTGATTTTGAGTGGTTATATTTAAAATAAAACTGCATTGTATACGAAATAATCAATTCGTTCATGTAATTTAGTTATTGAACTGGCCTGACTTGTCAGAAAAGAGGAATTTCTGGCATCGATTGCATTTTAATTTGAAAAAAAAATCATACAGATACTTCATTTGTTACTGAAAAATCTAGTCATTTAAATGTTGATAATATCAATATTTAGGACATAATTTTTGTCTTGCGATTCACTGTACAACACCTTTTCGGTTGGACTACAGATGTATAATTTTTTTTCAAGTACAAAATCTATCTTTTTCAAATTGAAACACATAATTCATTTACACAATATGCAAATACTAGAAACATGAATTTGAAACATGAACAGTATTGAACTACAGATTACCTTATCAACTATGTCTACTTTAGCCCCTGCTGATAACAATGTCTCAACTGATTCAGTATGACCATACTCAGTTGCATAATGTAGTTGAGACTTGTTGTCCTGAAATAAAATAACAGGCTGAATGACGAAAATATGATATAGAGAAAACTATAAGACTGTACAAGCTGAACATAATTGGTACAGTGACCCAAGAAGTAATTAGGAATGCATGTGTGAATTCGTAAAATGAACAGTTTGGCGAACATTACCTTATCAACTCTGTCTATGACTTCTGCTGACAGAAATACATTCACTGAATCTTTACGATCATTTTCTAATGCACATAAAAGTGGAATCGTCTTGACCTAAAACAAATAATAATTACCGGTATGTGTTAAATTACATGAATGTGGTGTAAATTGTGAAATATCTAAACTATTTTTGTACATTATGCTTTGAAAAAACTACAATTGCTAACACAAACATAAATTTGTAATCAAATAATTTCATGCTAAAGTAAATAAAACAGAAAATTGACTAATCATTATGCAAATTAGGTAACTAATATGCATTTATTTTTACTCAAAACTAGTCAAATCTTTGCATTAGTCCAGAGTATCCATATACTAAGTTTCATCAAAAACAGCGTACAGTTCTTGAGATATCAGTGGAACACGCACGCGCACGCACACGCACACGCACACGCGCACGCGCACGCGTACAGTGAAAATAAAATCAACATGACAATACCAACATTTAAAACCCAAGTACAAATATGACACCAGTAACCCATCACACGTGTCTGAAAAACATGTTTATATTATGTCACACTGCAGTGTGTTGATATGGGTCCCATGCAACGCATGTAAAATAAATTCATTGTTTACCCGAAATATGATCTAAATAGCATTTTATAGCAGGCTGGTATGATGTACTGAAGTCTGGATTCGATTTTATAAAGTCTGCAAAATGTACATTTTCAGTCACCAAATATTTAGGTTTGAGACTAATAAAGCAATAAATACCAGTATCTATCAAGATTCCTGTCACTATGAGGTAATTACAATGACATCACAAAGTGCAGATATGAGGTATACGGTTTGACCATTATAAAAAGAGGGATATATCTTTGGTGGATTGTGAACAATATATACAATATGAGTCACGCATTTATATAAAATTCTAAAAAACATACTTAGGTATATAAAAAAAATTAATTTGAAAAAAAGTACATTTATATAGAAAAGATATACAGTAACATTCTTTGAAAGTACATTTACTTTTTCAAAATCGTTATTTCTACTCAGGTGATTTATTATGCTGTTTTCGTATTCATCATAGAGGGCGCTATTGTAATAACAGAAAATGAG